TTCGGGACCAGCAGTTAGCGTAATGGCTATGTCGCTGGACTCCCACGTAGTCGACCGCGGTTCACGTCCTGGACCTGGTGGCTTAAACTCACGCCAGGCGCGTGTGCTTGCGTGCCCAAGATCCCAAGAGGAGAATGGAGGAGAAGGGATTGCGGAGTGGCCATCCCTCTGGGGTGATTTCTCGCTTTCTGGCTCTCTGTCTCTCTCTGTCTGTCTGGCGAGCGCATGCACCCTATAGCAAAAACCTCTTTAAAAAAAAAAAGTGGAGCTTCAAAGCCGGCTCACCGAGCAGAGCTGCTCTGCAGCTGAGACCCCGGAAAGTCAGGCGCACATGGGGTGGAGCCCAGGCTGCGGGCACCGGCAGAAGCCGAGAGGACAGGCCCAAGGCCAGGGTGCAGGGAGGAGGGCACACTGGTGATGCGCTGAGCAGTACACGCTTCAGGTTCCTGGTGGCAGTCACCCGAGACAGGGGCTCCCTTTACACCAGAAGCTGCCACGTGCCTGAGCCTGAGCCCCATGGTTAGGTGAGTGGCCGGTCGCCTCAATCCCACCATGTCCCTCCTGGGGGCACTGTGACAGATGCCTGCCTCGATCGGGCTCCTGCCCCTGGCCAGGCAGGGCCGGAAGCCAATGCCTGCGTAGGAGGGAGATCCGGGCCCAGTCAAGGGCCGGGCTTGCTTGCAGCAAAGGGAACCGGCCTCCCCGCGGCACTGGCCCCTCCCCTCCCCGAGGCCTGCTGTTGCACTGACCTTGGCCACAGCCCAGGGTTCAGCGGGAGTCAGGGAGGCCCAGCCATGTCTGTGCTCCTGGAGGCCCGACTGTGGGGGATGTGGGGTGTGGGGGCATTGCACCTCCTTTGTGGTCTACACGGACAGAAGCGTGGGAGCACAGCTGGGGATCCTGCTGGGGGCTGCCTTTGGGCCACTTTTTGTGTTCTCAGTGACTTGCTTCCAAGATGCTCTGACCGTGTCAGCCTCCAGTGGAGGCCGTGCTCCAGGGGCAAAGGGGCACGGTCTGGATGCTGGAGGCAAGTCTGGGGCGGGCGGCCAGCACCTCATGGCTGGGGCCCTACAGGCCCTGGGCTCAGGGCCCCAAGAGTCTGGGTCTCCACACCGAGCCTGGCCCTGCCCCTGCCAGCCACTGAGCAAACGGTGAGACCGAGCTCTGAGTGACAGAGTGGAGGCCCCACAGCAAGGCGGGGCACCCAGGGGTCCTTCTCGGGGGCAGAGGGCAGCAGAGGAGCCCTGGGCTGGACTGGCAGGCTTGGTAAGCACCTCCTGGCTTAGTCCATGCTCAGGTCTGCGTGGGCATGGGCACGGGGTGAGCAGGCCACCCCCGTGGGCTAGGCCCTGAGAAAACAGGATCTGCCACTCAGGAGGCACCCCAAAGCTAGCCCAGGAAATGGAGGCTTCAGCAGGCCAAAGGCCCCGTTTGCAGCCCGTCCTTGGAGCCGGCCGAGGGCAGGCCTGCCTCGCCTGCAGCTGAACTTAACCTTCACGGTGCCGTTCTGAGCCCATGCCCACTTCGCAGCTGAGGAGGCCAAGGCCCCAAGCACTGCCCACACGACCACAGCCCAGGGGCCTGGGGTTCAGCTGGACGCAGGCAGGCCTGGCCCCGAGGGCCCTGGGCACGGTTGAGGGAGGGCAGGCACGGCATGCCTGGGGCCTGGCTCTGGTCCAGGATTGACCCTGGGTCGGCATCCTCAGGTCCTCGGGTCCTCAGGGCTGTGACAGAGGCTGGCATGCCCCAGGCCTCGGCACAGGGATTTCTATGGGGAGACCCCACACTTTCCCCTGCTCTGAGGTCTGGCCCGGGGGGTCTGCAGTCCAGAGGACCTGGCCGAGCACCCTGCTCCCTAAGCTCAGTCTCCCTCCAGCAAGGACCCTGTGCAGGCCAGGCCAGGGCGGCTCATCTGGGAGGGGAGAGGGCGGCATGCACAAGGTGGGGCTGAGAGCCCGAGCCCTGGCCGGCTCGCAGGGCAGCAGCTGCCTGGCACTGTGGCCCCTGTCCCCACCTCCTGGCAGGGACCTCAGTGCCACTGTCAACATAGTCCACACCTCACAGTAGCCAGGGAGCACAGCCCGCCCCACAGGATGGAAGCACACCCCTGCCAGACCCAGGGCCTGGGGGCACTGCGGCCTTGCCAACTTCAGTAACCTGGGGGCAGCACCGACGCCCCAGACTCCCCGCTGCCACGGCTTGACCATGAAGATTATGGGATATGGGGATGGGGGCCCTGTGGGTCCCGGGCCCCGGCCTGCCCCCACGGCCAGGCTGGCTCCCTGTCCCCCTTCCTATTGGGCTGCACCCCAGGAGGAACCAAAATTGAAAGCAACTTAGTCTAGTCTCCCGGGGTCCCTGAAATATGGGTGGGAAGTGTACCCTACTTTGGGTGGACAGAAAGACCTACTCATTCAGGATTTCTGTACCCCCCCAACCAAGTCTCCGCCCAGTGGCCATCTTCTCTGACAGCCCCCGGGCCGAGTCACCTTGAGGCTGCCGCAGTCACTGCAAGGCTGTCCCCCGCAGTCTTTTGGGGTGCAGGCTCCCCTGCCTGGCCACCCTATGGGACTGAGCTCACTGCTTAGGAGGGCCCTTCCAGAGAGACCCCCTGGCTGAGTGGCCCCTGGCTGTCCTGATCTCTCCTGAGCACTGTGCCCTCACAGTGCACTGGCCCTCGGGATGCCCGGCCCTCAGCCCACACTCACCAGGCGCTTCTGGGGCCGAAGCAGCGGCCGGTTCACGCCGTTCACCTTGTGGTAGAGGCCACAGGCGTTGCACAGGTAGTGGCCGGTGCCGTCGCGGCGCCACAGCGGCGTGGACAGCGCCCCGCAGTTGACACACTCTCGACCCTCACCGGGAGACTCCTCCAGGAAGTCGGGCGCTGGGGGCAGAGGCGCTGCTGAGGCGCGGCAGTGCCACCGGCCCCGG